TCCATTCATCATTCAGGAGCAAGTTGTTCAGCTTCCATGTGATTGTGTGGTTTTGAGTGCTTTTCTTAATCCTGAGTTCTAATTTGATTGCACTGTGGTCTGAGAGACTGTTATGATTTCCATTCTTTTGCATTTGTTTAGGAGTGATTTACTTTCAATTATGTAGTCAACTTTAGAGTAAGTGCGATGTGGTGCTAAGAAGAATGTGTGTTCTGTGGATTTGGGGTGGAGTGTCCTGTAAACGTCTATTAGGTTCGCTTGATCGAAAGCTGTGTTCAAGTCCTGGATATCCTTCGTGACCTTCTGTCTCATTGATCTGTCCAATATTGTCAGTGGAGTGTTGAAGTCTCCCACTATTATTGTTCGGGAGTCTGAGTCTCTTTGTAGGTCATTAAAAACTTGCTTTATATATCTGGGTGCTCCTGCATTGAGTGCATATATATTTAGGATGGTTAGCTCTTCTTGTTGCATTGATCCTTTTACGACTATGTAATGCCCTTCTTTGTCTCTTTTGATCTCTGTTGGTTTAAAGTCTGTTTTATCAGAGACTAGGATTGCTATCCTTGCTTTTCTTTGCTCTCCATTTGCTTGGTAGATCTTCTTCCATCCCTTATTTTGAGTCTATGTGAGTCTTTGCGTGTGAGATGGGTTTCCTGAATAGAGCACATTGATGGATTTTGACTTTTTATTCAGTTTGCCAGTCTCTGTCTTTTGATTGTGGCATTTGGGCCATTTTCATTCAATGTTAATATTGTTGTTTGAATTTGATCCTGCCATTTTGTTACTGGCTGGTTGTTTTGCCCGTTAGTTGACATGGCTTCTTCATTGCATTGTTGTTCTTTACCATTTGGTATGTTTTTGCAGTGGCTGGTAATGCTTGTTCTGTTCCCTGTTTAGTACTTCCTTCAGTAGCTCTTATAAGGCAAGTCTTGTAATGACAAAATCTCTCAGCAATTGCTTGTCTGTAAAGGATTTTATTTCTCCTTCACTTATAAAGCTTAGTTTGACCAGATATGAAATTCTGGGTTGAAAGTTCTTTTCTTTAAGGATGTTGAATATTGGCCCCACTCCCTTCTAGCTTGTAGGGTTTCTGCCAGGAGATCTGCTGTGAGTCTGATGGTCTTTCCTTTGTGGGTGACTCGACCTTTCTCTCTGGCTGCCCTTAGGATTTTTTGCTTCATTTCAACCCTGGTGAATCTGACAATTATGTTCTTTGGTGCTGCTCTTTTTGAGGAATATCTTTGTGATGTTCTCTGTATTTCCTGGATTTGAATGTTGGCCTCCCTTGTTAGGTTGGGAAAGTTCTCTTGGATGATATCTTGGAGAGTGTTTTCCAACTTGGGTTCATTCTCTCCATTACATTCAGGTACACTGATCAAGTGTAGATTAGGTCTTTTCAAATAATCTCATAGTTCTTGGAGGCTTTGTTCATTTTTTTTTCACTTTTTTCTCTAATCTTGTCTTCTCATTTTATTTTATTGATTTGATCTTCTATCTCTGATATCCTTTCTTCTGCTTGATCGATTCAGCTGTTGAAACTTGTGTATGCCTCACAAAGTTCTCATGCTATGTTTTTCAGCTCCATCAACTCATTTATGTTCTTCTCTAAGCTGGTTATTCTAGTTAGCATTTCATCTATCCTTTTTTCAAGGTTCTTAGTCTCTTTGCATTGGATTAGAATATGATCTTTTAAATCAGAGAAGTTTGTTATTACCCACCTTCTGAAGCCTACTTCTGTCAATTCATCAAATTCATTCTCTGTCTTTTTTCATTCTCTTGATGGGAGGAGAAGAGATGTTCTGTTCTTTGATGGTTTCATCCTTTTTGCACTTTTTCTCATCTTTGTGGATTTATCTCCCTTTGATCTTTGAGGTGGGTGATTTCAGGAGGAGTCTCAGTAGATGCTTTTTTTCTGTTGAGGTTGGAGCTATATCTTTTTTGGCCTGTAGAGGGCATTGCTGGGCTCTCTCAGGCTTAGTCAGGTTGTTGGGTAGGTGGTCCTTCCCTGGAGTTTGTTTGCAGGTGAGATCGGCCCCGCCTTCCCAATGGCATCTCTCCCAGAGCTAGATCATCCTGGTTGGGGTCAAACTGGTGTATTTGTTGCCAAGCTTTCTAGCGAGGGCATATTTTGAGTTCTATGGAAATGGGGCCTGCCAGGCCTTATGGTCTGTTTCCCTGCTTTCAACTCAGCCTCCCTCTGTGGACAGTCTGTCCCCCTGGCATTAGTTCAAACTTCCGCCCAGATCTATGTGACTACTTGCCATTCCTAGCAGGAGCTGCTTCTCAGATTTGCATCAACAACCCACAGCACCCCACAGTCTGGCAGGGCTCTTGTGGACTGTGGCTTGTAGGAGGGATAAGACAAGCACAGATTCCGAATTAGAGCACCGAGGAGGGGGTGAAGTCCCCTGACCCTCTGAGCCAGCTGCACGTTTCAGATGGGGACATGTCCTCCCGTCTTGATTTGGCCCCTGGGCAGCTCTCGCCCTGCAGCTTCTTCCCTGGGCTATTTTCAGTGTCCTATCAGTCCCACTGAAATGAACCCAGCACCTCGTTTGGAATCGTGAAGTCCTCTAGCCCTCTGCATCTCATTCACTGGGAGCTGCATTCAGGTGTTGCCTTCTGATGGCCATCTTCTGCATATCCCTTAGAGTCGGTTTTTTAAGATGAGCTCTTTTCATAGATTTGAGTTTTTATTTTCAGTTTTCTTGGATTGTAGCTTTAAATATTAGTTCCATTCCATTCCTTTGTTTTTCTTCTTTAGGGCCTTCAATTATACATATGTTGTTTCTTTTTGCCTGTGTTCTATTTCAGCTATTTTCTACCTGACTCTTTTTACATTTTTCCTCATGTCATTTTTATTCCCATGATTGATTTCCTGCATTTTTTCTTTTCTTTTTTTTTTTGAGACAGAGTCTTGCTCTGTTGCCCAGTCTGGAGTGCAGTGGTACACTCTCAGCTCACTACAACCTCTGCCTCCTAGGTTCAAGGGATTCTTATGCCTCAGCCTCCTGAGTAGCTGGGATCATAGGCATGGGCCACCATACCCAGCTAATTTTCATATTCATTTTTTCAATATGCCTTATTAAACTTTCATTTTACCTATTCTCCCTTGGACACATTGCAATATAGTCATTTCTTAAATTTTTTTTCCATACTGAGTTTAATCAATTATTATCTTTGTTTTTAAATTTTTTTTTTCCATTTTTGAATTTTTGATTCACAATTTTTTTAATATCCCCATATGGTTGTTTGAGATTTAATTTAGTTTGGAGTCTTGTGATATAAATTTTTATATGCTTTTTGTAGTTTTTAAAAATCATTTTGGGTTTTTTTTTTTTTTTTTTGTATTTGTTTCTAGGAACAGGGTTCAAGAGTAAGGTATTTTTATTGTTTCTATTTTTCTCCCATACTATCTTTTTATAGATTTGTTCTATTTTATCACTTTATTTCATAACATTAAGTGATTCTTTATTCTAACATATTCTTGGTTAAGGCAGTGTTAACAAAAGGACCAATGATGAACTTAACATATTGTGGATATAAAATTGTAAAACAAAGGTGAAGACAAAAGTAGAATAATAAGATAGAAATGATCCATGTTCTGATGAAGTAGAAGTAAAACAAAATGTGGAGGAGAAGGCAGGGAAAGAGGAGCATCAAATAAAGTCTTTGATGTTCAGTTGTAGGTGGGAGGTAAAGTATACTAGTTTGAAGAGAGAGTTTATAGGATTCCTTGTTTAAGCGTGGTCTGATTTGACAGTGGGACAAGGTACAGTCTCTTTAATAAGTAACTTTTTCATGATGGGAACATTGTCCGATTTTTGTTTGTTTGGACAGGAAACTAAATTTCTTCCTTTTACTACTTCTTTTCCTTTTCACCATCCAGTCTCCAAAGGGTGCCTCACCCTTTCTTACCGTCTTCTTCCCCAGAATCAATACCTTTCAGAGCCTTGAAGGCCCACTTTTAAGTCCTTTTCTTGTAATCAATGCTCTGACCTACTAGGACACTCTTCAGTATTTTCACACTTAAACTGAACTTCCTAGTGTTAATTTTAGATCAATCTTAGATTTCCCCTCTTCTCTCTTCAATAGAGTTTTTCCTGACTTGGATGAAAGTGTGAGAGACAGAACCCTCTGTTTTGGTGTTCATTTTAATACTTACGAGTAATTTCAAATTTGGGCATTCTCTGACTTCTATTTATGCAGAGGGTTTGAGACTTTATATCATTTTATTTGTCCTTCATGTTTTATAATATTTTTAGAGGATAAGTATGGAGATTCAGATTTAGACATTCATCATTATCCTCAGCTTTATTTTTGTTTAGGGATTATCTAGCTATAAATTAGTCTTTAAAGTAAGTGGGAACAAAACCCTACTCATTAATCATTCAAGGGTTAAGCCTGAAATTTTTACTCGTTCAGATATTGAGTATATTTTTTAGTAGTGGTTTAGAAATTTTACTGAAGTTTATTCAATTCAATTTTAGAATACATATTTAAAATAATATAATTTTTCTAAATGTTGTAAATAAATTTCAAAAGTGTTTACAACTAATATAAAATGGGTATATTAAAAATATTTCCCCTTTTTGCCTTCATTAACTAAAGAATATTTTATCTGGTTGTGAGATATTGTTTCAGAACTCTTAGAGGCCCTGGATAATTGTATAAAGACTCCAAATTACACAAACAATATGCTTAGGATATAAATTATGTTCATACTGTGAATTTTCTAAGCAAATAATGGGAAGCTTAAAAAATTAATCACCATATTTCTGAGACCTTGATTTTATTTTTAATGAAAAGGATATCCTGCTCACACTTTTATATTCTTTTTTTTATATGTAATTTTGGTATATGTATTCTGAAGTGGCATAGAACATGTTTCTTTTGCATGTCCAATAGACTGTGGAAAATATTTTAAAATATTAAGAAGCATGTATAAAATTTTGTTTGCTGAAAAGGAAATGATACTCGCTACTACTTTGCTCCCTCAGGCCGCTTTGACTCTTCCACGAAGACCTTTCCTTCACTGTTCTTCTGTGATACCTGTTGTGGTTCTGACCCTGAAATTTACTATGCACCTTTTCAAGCTCAAAGACTCATGGTGCTTTCTTCCCTGGATGTTATTTATATCCTGGACTTCACACCATATCCGAGATGGGATTCGTCATGGTTTGTGGATATGCCCATTTGGAAAAACTTCTCCGTTGCCATTCTGGCTTTATGTAATAATCACATCATCTTTACCTCATATCTGTTCATTCGTTATGTATTTAACAGGAACCAGACAAATGATGTCTTCAAAACATGGAATTCGTATTGATGTCTGAGGTAACCACACGGCAGTCGTAGAGAAGCAAATGGCTCAGATGATGATAATTAAGAGTAGCCACCATTAAAATTAATTTTTAAAAACACAGGTGTTTATATTATTTAATTATTATAATTCTGCTCTTGCTCAGGAAGCATGTACAACTTTAAAAAAATTATACTTTTTATTATTCTATTTCTCTCTTCTATGACAACTCTAGTGCAATATTAGAGTTTTATTTATTCCATGATATATTTTTATTGGTTTTTTTTCTGTTTATCTGGCATTACTAGTAGTTCTGTTAGATTAACATCCTGTTAATTTTCTGGAAATACACCTGAAATTTGTCCATTTCTTAATGAAAAACAGCTCATATTTTAGGATAACTAATTTTTAAAGTGTTAACATTGTATTTGGATCCACATTTTCTTGAGATATTGAAATAGTGAAATTGCCAAATAAATGATATGAATCATTTAACTGAACAAATGTATAGTTAATGCTAATATGTATTTATTTTCATAAATGTTGATCCTGACTGGTTTAATTTGCAGAATGCTTTATGAGTTATGATTACTGGCAGAATCTTCTTCAGAGCACTTGTGACACATCATTATAATATCCAGTAACTAACATTAGATCTAGCTTATTTCAGAAATTAATTTAGGAAATAATTATTAAAACATGTTAGCTATAGTAACACTTTACTGAAGTTGTATTTTTTTAGTATCTCTAGCCTAGAATCTTGTGTGTTAGTGTTTTAACTGTTTTGAAAAAAAAAACTAAATTTAATATTTGTTAATAAATAACTTTAATAAAATATTGATACTTGGATCATAACCATAACATTTTAATTCACGTAAAAAAATAATGACCAGGAATGTCATTTCAAATGTAAATTCCTGAATGTACCATCAAAATTGTTTTAGTTGCTATCAGTTTGTTTATATACTATTCTAAAACACTTTACGAGTTAAATTTTTTTTTTATCATCCTGATACTGAAAGACAGGATATATTTTTTTCAAAATAAATTTTTAGGAAATTTGCTTTTTCCTTTCTTCTTTCAGGTTGATCTTCTATTAAAATGATTCCTCTTTAGTAAAGAAGGAAAATTTAGTTGCTATACATCTTAAATTTGCAGTTTCATGTTACTTTGATACTCAAGTCAGTGACCTAAAGGTACCTGCTTTTCTTTTGGCATATGTGCCATCTGTTGTCTTCAGATTTTCTTACAGTTTTGTGATTTATAATGCTGGTGATTGTTGTGCCTTATTCTCTGAGGAAGGGTGGAGGGTTCATAAAGCAATGCCTTATCCACAGCAGATTTTTTTGTATATTAAGTTAAACAGAATTCTGTAAATTATTATGAAGCTTCAAGCTCTTTAGGGGAGTTTCTTTCCTTGTTAACAAATTGCTTGCAATTTATTATATTTTCAATTGATTAGATACTACAGTCTACTTATTATTTTTCAAGAGTAATTATTGTATAAGTTTGGTTGGTATAATAGTATTATATAGGGGGATAAATTTGATTAGAGATTTTTTTAAGTATCCAACTTCAGAAATACATGGAAATAAAGTCTGTATCTTGTGTAGCAATTCCTGACTAAATTATAAAACCTTTTCTACTTTTTCTTTCTTCATATTAAACAAATAAATATCATTAAAATATAGGGCCTTATTTAAGAATGCTACATAGCAACCAGACACGGTGGCTCACACCTGTAATCCCAGCACTTTGGGAGGCCAAGGCAGATTGGTAACTTGAGGTCAGGAGTTCGAGACTAGCCTGGCCAACATGGTGAAACCACGTTTCTACTAAAAATACAAAAATTAGCCAGATGTGATGGCACACACCTGTAGTCCCAGCTACTCGGGAGGCTGAGACAGAAAATGGCTTGAACCTGGGAGGCAGAGGTTGCAGTGAGCTGAGATGGGGCCACTGCACTCCAGCCTGGATGACAGAGGGAAACTGTCTTTAAAAGTAAAAATAAAAAATAAAATAAACAAGAATGCATTTTTGGGGTTGTCAAAATTTTCCTTTATTAGAATGGGAACCCACCTTTGACCATGACTCTTTGCTTAAACAATACTGCCCTTTTTACATGTGGGTTCATCTTAGTTCCTACCTCTACCATCAGAAATCTTCATTGTCCTCTAAATAAGCAGTCCTCAGCCTTTTGGCACTAGGGACTGGAAGGACCAGTTTTGTGGAAGACAATTTTTCCACAGATGGCTGGGGAGCGGTGGGGGTGCTGATGGTTTCGGGAGAAACTATTCCATTTCAGATCATCAGACATTAGATTCTCATAAGGAATCTGCAACCTAGATCCCTGCATGTGCAGTTCACAATAGGGTTCCTGCTCCTATGGGACTCTAATGCTGGAGCTGATCTGACAGGAGGCGGAGCTCAAGTGATAATGCTCGCTCACCCACCTGCTCTGTGGCTCACCTCCTGCTCTGTAGCCCACCTCCTGCTCTGTGGCCCAGTTCCTAACAGGCCATGGACTAGTACCGGTCCACAGCCTGGGTGTTGGGGACCCCTGCTTTAAATGGACCCCAAAGTTGTGATTGTAATCTCTGGAAAACCAGCAACCACTTCCCCGTGCCAGCACTTTATTCTTGCTGGTAGTGAAGGAATTTGTGTCAATATAACATTGTGTTTGAAAGTTAAATTGTACCTTATTTGCACATGTGCATTTTTCTCAATCCTCCAGACTAACTGCCTTCACTTATTGTTTGTCTCTTTGCTGTTTCACTGATCCAACCTCCCAGTTTACCATTCTCTTTTCTTGAGTTGTGTTATTCATGTTGGCTTGTGGACAACTTCCACCACTGAACTACATTCTACTCATCCCCAAGCCCAGCTTTCTTTAATGGAGGCTTAAGAATCCCTGTTGTGAATGGGTAAAAACTCGCCTTTAAATTTTATTTATGTTATTTTATTTTATATTTTATTTTACTTTTTCTTTGAGGCAGAGTCTTGCTGTGTCACCCAGGCTGGAGTGCAGTGGCATGATCTTGGCTCACTGCAACCTCTGCCTCCCACATTCAAGCGATTCTCCTGCCTCAGCCTCCTGAGTGGCTGGAATTACAGGAGCCCGCCACCACACCCAGCAATAATTTTGAATTTTTAGTAGAGACAGGTTTCACTATGTTAGCAAGGCTGGTCTTGAACTCCAGACCTCAAGTGATTCGCCCATCTCGGCCTCCCAAAGTGATGGGATTACAGGCATGAGCCACTGTGCCCAGCTAAAACTCCTCTTTTAATCCTCCCCTCTTTAACTTGGCCCTTTCTACTCTGAGGCAGCAGCCCTTCCACTCTGACCCTTAGGCAGACACCCTTGGCTCCTGTTTGTTGTGGCTGGTGGAATGATGACTTAGTTTGGTTCGTTTAACCAACTGGTCTTTGCTCACCACTGCAGAGTTCTCTGTTTTTTCATTTGATAGCTCATTATGTTGCTCACTCCATGTCCTCCTCACCTTCTAAGACTCACTTTCCCCTTCTTTGATGATATGAGCAAAAAGGATCTGCTTTTTCCTTTTATTCCAATGCTTGCTTTTCTCTCTCTCACTTACAGATGACCTGCCTGAAACCTCGACTTGTGCATTCCCCTATCTATGCCACTACTCTCATTGCCACATCATATCAGCCACTTAACAGTACAGAGGGCCTCTGTACCTCCTTCTTAGATGATACTGTCACCTCTGAGATCTTAAGCTTTGCTTCCTTTCTCTAGACCAGTAGTTCTCACATTCTCCCATACATCAGAATCACATTCAGGGCTTGTTAAAACATGGACTGGGGTCCCATATCACTTGGGACCCATCCTGAGTTCTGATTTGGTAGGTCCTGATCACTTACATTTCTAACACATTTCCAACACATTTCCAATTGATGCCAATGCCACTGTTCAGGAATGATATGTTGAAGACCACTACTCTGGATCCATTGTACTTCTTTAATTTCATTTTCCTCGTCTCTCTTTTTTTAATTGAGCCAGTTACACTACCTTATTGATATCTTCAATTGTTCTTCAATATCCCTCATCACCAAGTCCATCAGCCCTCTGCTGGATACACTTAACTCTTCCCAGGCCCTACCTGTACAGTGCTATAAGTTCAGTCACCCATCAGTACAATGTACAGTACAGTGTAAATTACTGTACATTTCCTCATGTACCATACAATTAGTCAATCCAGAATAATCCATGTAGTCGGCTTTTCCCATTTCGACTTTAGGCCACGTCTTTGAAGTAGTTACGGAAGTGTGCTGACTTGACTTACTACAACTCATGCAATCTTAACTTCAGCCATGTACTTGATAATGTGTTGCTCACTACTAAAGACTGTAGTGTAATATTGTAACACGGAATATCTGCTACACCACATCTTTCTGATAGTGGCATAGACTTGGGTGGGTACTTAAGCATAACTGATCATACCACATGACCCCACTCTATTCCCCCCTCCCCCACACTGACATACCATAGGAGTGTGCCCTTGACCCTTGACCCAAGTGTTGCCAACTGACAGCAGGTTAGAGTCTTTGGAATTGGCCTGATGAAGAAATTTCGACCAACTCCTTAGAGAAGAGAAAGCACCTTAGAACCTTAGAGAAGAGAAAGCAGACAGCACAAGCCACAAAGTATGAAAAACTGGTAAAGGTATATATATATATATATATATATATATATATATATATATATATATATATAATTTTAAGACAAGGTCTTGCTCTGTCACCCAGGCTGGAGTGCAGTGGCACGACTACAGCTCACTGCAGCCTTGACCTCCCAGATTCAAGCAATCCTTCCACCCCAGCCTCCCAAGTAACTGGGACTGCAGGTGCAGTATCATGCCTGCTAATTATTTATTTATTTATTTATTTTGGTAGATGCAGGATCTCACTGTGTTGCCCAGGCTGGTCTCAAATTTCTGGCCTCAAGTGATCCTTTGCCTTGGCCTCCCAAAGTGTTGGTGTGAGCCATTGCACCTGGCTTATGTTTTCAACTTATATGAAAGCCGAGGGCGTTTTTCAATCCATTCCGTGGACTTTTATTGAAGGATATATTTTTTTACTGGGAGGTTTGGTTGATGGACTCCATTTCCCAGAGTTACAGAATGATGAGTGAGGTCATTCAATCCCATGCTCTGCCTTCTAATTGGATGAGCCCAGTGATCGTCAAGCCTACTTTTACAGCTTCCAAGAGAATTTCAAAGTCTTTCTGCTTTTTATATCCTGCTCCAAAGAAAACAAGGGTTGTTGTTTTTTTTTTTCCACATTATCTGTATGCAGTCTGAACATACAGTCTGATTTGTGGTATAACAGAGCTATAAGACTCATTGGCACCTTGCACAATTTTATGGCAACAATGCAAACATCAGGATGATGGAGTAGGTAACATACTCAAACCTCTAAGTGTGCAATTCTGTTGAATCTGCCATGGCCTCCTGAGCATGGATAATGACATATATTGTGTTGTATTTAAAATTCTCCCTGAAAAGCAAACTTAGCCACCATAATCCATTTCATATACCAGATTATGAAACAGAAAAATACAAATATGATGAGTCTACATGTCTACCCCACAAATTAGAAACTACGAAAGTCTTCTTATTTATGGGACATAGAAGTGACTCTCACTCCTTGATGGCTGGTGTGGGTGCCATGCTGAGGAGTTTAGCTACCATGAGCAAGCACTTTTGACAATTTTACTGGTTTCTTCCCTGCCGTATATGGCTGGATCTCAGTGGAAATGTATGGGACTGAAAACAGTTATGCATCATTTAGCAAGTGGTGTTTACTGTAGTTTTATATATTTCATACCCTCTTTCGAATGTCATCACACATGCATGTAGGGGAGATAAAGAATTTAATGGGAGTTCACCAGTGTGCCAGAGCATTCTGCCAAATATCTGTCATGTTAGGTGGTCCGTGATGCACTAACTACAAAATATAATACATATATGACCAAATAATAATGTGTTTGAGCTCAGCGCAGCAGCTCATGCCTATAATCCCAGCACTTTGGGAAGCCAAGGTGGGCAGATCACTTGAGGTCAGGAGTTCGAGACCAGCCTGACCGACATGGTGAAACCTATCTCTACTAAAAATACAAAAATTACCTGGGCATGGTGGCAGGCACCTGTAATCCCAGCTTCTTGGGAGGCTGAGGCATGAGAATTGCTTGAACTAGGGAGGCAGAGATTGCAGTGAGCCAAGACCATGTAATTGCACTCCAGGCTGAGCGACAAGAGCAAGACTCCATCTCAAAATACTAATACTAATACTACTAATAATAATAATAATGTGTCTGTCAAAAGTTTTCTATTTGTTTTCCTATGGTTTTCCCTCTGGGCCCAAATCATGACCTTAAAAAAAAAATGTTGATCTAAATTTTATTCACAAAGTTCTAAAGCTAGAGCCCTTAAAGAATATCTTATTTAGTAATTTCTTCTATGTGACTCTTTATGTCTGTTTCATGTGATGAAAAGACATACTTAATTCTAATGGAATTGGCAGATGTGGTAAGAGGTTGATTTTTATCTAGTTTTGTTATGAATTTATAGATATTTTGTGTTTGGGGTACTTTTAACTTCTCAGTTACATCAAGAAATGCTTATTCCCAGTCAGGCACGGTGGCTCATGCCTGTAATCCCAATATTTTGGGACGCTAAGGTGGGCAAATCCCCTGAGGTCAGGAGTTCAAGACTAGCTGGCCAACATAGTGAAACCGTCTCTACTAAAAATATGAAAAAAAAAAAAAAAAAAACAGTTGGGCATGGTGGTGGGCACCTGTAATCCCAGCTACTTGGGAGGCTGAGGCAGGAGAATAGCTTGAACTTAGGAGGTGGAAGTTGCAGTGAGCCAAGATCACACCATTGCACTCCAGTCTGGGCAACAAGAGCGGAACTCCATCTCAAAAAATAAACGTTTATTTATGATTATTGCAAATTATTACAAGTATTGTAAGTATTATGTTATAGAAACAATCTATTAAAATGTAAATCCCAAGATATTTAATATAACTAAAATGCAAAATAAAACATCAAAGAGCATTTTTTAAAATTCTCAGTTTGGGAAGACACCGCAGACCCGCGACCCGGAGCAGCTCGGAGGCGGTGAATAATAGCTCTTCAAGTCTGCAATAAATAATGGCCTCCAATAAAAATACATTGCAAAAAATAGGAAAGAAAAAGAATGGAAAGAGTAAAAAAGTTCAAGAGGCAGAGCCTGAAGAATTTGTGGTGGAAAAAGTACTAGATCGACGTGTAGTAAATGGGAAAGTGGAGTATTTCCTGAAGTGGAAGGGATTTACAGATGCTGACAATACTTGGGAACCTGAAGAAAATTTAGATTGTCCAGAGTTGATTGAAGCATTTCTTAATTCTCAAAAAGCTGGCAAAGAAAAAGATGGTACAAAAAGAAAATCATTATCTGACAGTGAATCTGATGACAGCAAATCAAAGAAGAAAAGAGATGCTGCTGACAAACCAAGAAGATTCGCCAGAGGTCTTGATCCTGAAAGAATAATTGGTGCCACAGACAGCAGTGGAGAATTGATGTTTCTCATGAAATGGAAAGATTCAGATGAGGCAGACTTGGTGCTGGCGAAAGAGGCAAATATGAAGTGTCCTCAAATTGTAATTGCTTTTTATGAAGAAAGACTAACTTGGCATTCTTGTCCAGAAGATGAAGCTCAATAATTGTTCACTTTTTTATATATATACGTATATATATTTGTATATATATATGTGTATATATATATAATTTGGGTCTTGTTTTTGGTTTACTAGTGTGACGAAATAACTACATCCAATGAAAATCAAGTTTGATATGTTCGTTTTGAAAGTAGTGTTGGAAGAGTTGTTGGGGGTTTTTTGCATCCATAGCACTGGTTACTTTGAACCAATCAATAAAAGCTTTCTGTAATTGCTTCCTTGATCAGAAAAGAACATTTGATACCATGGTATATTATTTTCTCTGCATTAACAGCTTTTCTAAATGTTAGGGGAAATGTGCATAGCCATTACTAAATCAAAATTTGTGTTCTCATAAGCCTAAGGACCATTCTGGGTTTTTTATATATTTGTGTGTGTGTGTGTGTGTGTGTGTGTGTGTGTGTGTGTGTATGTATCTATACATAAAATGCATATGTAAAATTTTTTTGTTGTTTTTAAACATTCACCAAAAAGTCACAAGTAAACCCATGTTTCTGAGATGCCATTGTTCTGAGCAAAATAAGAGCTAATCACTTCAAGTTAAATTAAAATTTTTCCTGAAGCCATACATTTCAAGTATGGGAAGAAGTAAGTGATTTTAATTAATAGGACAGTTTAAATTGGATAATTTTAAAGCATCTATATAAATGCAGTTTTTTGTTGGCAAAATTCCTAAAAGGAAAACTTATCACTACCATTACAGGAGGTTTCCCCATCCATATGAGGAAACTAGACAAGTGCTAGTGTGTTTTCGTTAGCTAAATAAAACTAAGTTAAATGAACATTGAAAAATCTGCTAGAAGGCCATTCCTTAACAAACTGTTGAAATCCCTGTTGCTACATTGACTAAAAGGTCATGATTCACGGAACTTCTTAAGATTTGGTTCATAGAAACCTAATCAGATGGAGATGTTGGCAGTTTATGACTTGCTGACATAAATGTATGAACAACCTTTTGTAATCTAACCTGTTGACCTGCATGTTTTTTCTTTACTCCAACTCATTCCTTCCATGTAGGCTCAGTCTTTCAGTTACTTGCTTTACTGGTTCTGTATATTGTTTACTTTATTGTAAATACTGGTGAACAGTGGTTAATAAATAATTTTATATTCCTTTAAAAAAATTCTCAGTTTGACACATTTTTAAAAGATTGATAATAGTTTTGGCAAGAGGTGTAAGGAAATGAGCAGTGTTGGTGAAACAATAAAGTCACACTTTCTTACTAGAGAGAAATGTGGTAAGATGTTTTAAAAGTACAAGCCATTTCACTCAAATTTTATTTTAGGAATTTATTCTAAGAAACAAACAGGTAAGTTTACAAAGGAGAGGGATTTCTGTTGGCTGCTTCAGATGGCAAAAATAAAACGAGACAAAACTGGAAATTGCCTGAAAGTCTAACTAGAGGATTAGCAACAAACAATGAAATACTAATGGCTAAATCATTTAAATGGATGAAGTAGATATATGTAATGATATGCAAAAATGTCTGTATGAAATATTTTTAAAATAAAAGCCAGTAATAAAACAAGATGATTCCATTTTTGTAAAATAGACACATACACATGTGTAGTGTAGAAAACAGTTCTGAAACCTAGCTACCAGGCAATTCACAATGATTCACAACCCTCAAGAATTGGAAAGTGGGTCATGAGGAACTTCTGCCTTTACTTTATATATTGTGTCATGTTTTACAATAAGCATGTATACTTTTATATGACACAGAGGTATCTCCATTTCCTATCACAAATCCAGTTCTCAGTCTACAGAGCAAGTCTGACCTGACACCAGCGCCTGACTCTCTCTGCAACGCACCTCAGACTGGTGCTGATTGTCCTGCTGGGTCAGTGAGCTATTGATAAGCTACTCTATTTCCACATTGGATTCAGTACCTCATTTAAGCCCACACAGCTGTCCTTATTATGTAATTTGTTATTTCATCAGACTCCAGCTACATAGCAAGATCTATGCCGAGCCAGAAGATTCACAGCCATTTCGTTCTGAGAAACTCATGTTAATAATCAGTCTCCACAATTACTTTGCACTTTGCATAAATTGAGGCTCTGCCACCTGCATCTCCTTGGCATTTCTTTACTTGCCAGAAATAACAACAATAATGAAAGGGTGTATGAAGCATTTTACCATTTCTTCTGACTTTACAAGGAGTTAGTTTGACTTACATATCCAGTATTGCTTATTAATGTTGTTGCTTCAGAGTCTGGGCAGCATTCCAATTCCGCCAGCCCCATAATTCCCTGAACAGGAGGGGAATGTCAACTTACAGTTCTAGCACATACCATGATCTTCCTTAGACCACTGTATGAGCTTTCAAAGAAGGTACTCATCTGAATTCACACCTTATTAATTTGGTATTAATTGGACTTAATTTGAGCACTGCCCAAGTTTCCAGGTCAGTGACATTGACAGCATGCTTATATAGTGGAAGGCAGAGAGAAAATTTTCCCCAAATATCTGGCTGATAATAAAGTCTAAAATGTGGGACAGTGGTTAGTTACATAATAGGCACATGTAACACATCTTAATGACAGTAGTAAAGTATTCCTGAGAGTACTATTAGGAACACATTGTATGCTGCAGAGGCATTGTTTCTCTTAGAAAGCCATGTGTAAATACCACAGTTCCCTCTTCCTGGAGGTCCATAGCTGATTGCCCAATGTCTGACAATAGTCTCTCAGTGTTAGGCCCGGTTCCCTGGCCAGCAGAGGCTCTGGTGTTTCTCTATGTTCTAAAATGATTGGCATAGGTTGCTCTTGTGCAATCTGGCCTCCAGAGAAGATGGCTTGGGCCCCAGGCCAGTCCTGGAATGGGCTCTCCCATTCCTAGCGTGTGACATCTGAAACAACCCACTCTGCAAGCCTTCTGCTTCCTTCTCCACATACCAATCCAGGTGAGATCAGATGAAAATCAACCTCAAGGGATCTTGGAAAACTACTACAAAAGGGTGGGCAGGAAGCATGGAAGCGGGGGACTTCTTGGCCTGCTTAGGGGTTATAGCATATGGGTTTGTGTCTGTGTATCCAGTATTACTTTTCTTTTGGTGCTGTAATAAATGACCACAGACTTAGTGCCTTAAAATAATACACATTTATTATCTTATAGTTCTGTGTGTCACAAATCCCACACAGGTCTCACTAGGCTAAAATCAAGGCCTCAGCAGGAAGGTGTTCCAACTAGAGGCTCTAGGGAAGCATCTACCCCCTTTCCTCTTTTAGCTTCTAGATCAGGCGTCCCCAAACTTTTTACACAGGGGGCCAGTTCACTGTCCCTCAGACCGTTGGAGGGCCGCCACATACTGTGCTCCTCTTACTGACCACCAATGAAAGAGGTGCCCCTTCCTGAAGTGTGGCACGGGGACGGATAAATGGCCTCAGGGGGCCGCATGCGGCCTGCGGGCTGTAGTTTGGGGACGCCTGTTCTAGATACTACCTGTGCTATAGACTGAATGTATCCCTGCAAAATGCATACAATCCCCCTGTGATGGCATTTGTAGGTGGTGCCGTTGATAGGTGATTAGATTATGAATGGGATTAGTACTCATAAAAGAGACTCCAAAGAGCTCTCTTGCCTCTTTTGCCCTGGGAAGTCATAGTGAGAATTTGGTGTGTGCAACTCAGAAAAGAACATTCACCAGAAACTCACCTTGAGAATTATGAGAAATAAATTTTTGTTGTTTATAAGCCACCTGGTCTATGGTACTTTGTTATGGAGCCCAAACTGACTAAGACAATCTGCAGGCCTTGGCTTGTGGCCCCTCTGTTCTGTCTTCAAAGCCAGCAATGGCAGGTCAATCCCTTTTCATATCACTTCTCCTTGATCCTCCTTCCATAGTCACACCTCCCTCTGACCACAGCCAGGAAAGGTTCTCTGATTTAAGAACCCACGTGATTAGACTGGGCCCACCTAAATAATCTATGATCATCTCCTCATTTGAAGGTTCTTATCATGTCTGCAAAGCCTCTTTTGCCAGGTTCAGGGGACTGGGATGAATCTTTGGAGGACATTACTATATTCTCCCTGCTATGATAGCATCAGTATTTTCAGTTGTTGTAGTTTGTTAGTGGTTTTGTTTGTTTAATACAAGATAGTGGGCCACCTCCTATACTCCTGAAGCCACTTTCTAAAGTCACTGTGCCCTGGACATCGCTGTGGCCCTGGTGTCTTTGGACAAATCACTCATCCTTTCTGAACCAACAAGGGATAGGCCAGATCCTTCTCAAGATTCCCTTTCTGCTCTATTTTTCTATAATATCCAGCTCTTTGCACAAGTAATGATGGGGCTCCTCAAATTCTGGGAAAATGGCCTCCAACTTGCCTTAAGTTCATTCTTGGGATGTTTTTCTCCCTCAATAGCAACACTTTGGCTTGTATTTTTCCTTTGTTTTCTCCATATAGAACTACTGCATCTTTAGAAAAGCCTTTCTGTATTCTCCATGAAAAAAATATTTAAATTCATAAAGTCTTATCAGGGCCAGGTGTGGTGGCTCACACCTGTAATTCCAGCACTTTGGGAGGCCCAAGTGGGCAGATCACTTGAGGTCAGAAGCTTGAGACCAGCATGGCCAGCATGGTGAAATCCTGTCTCTACTAAAAATGCAAAATTTAGCCAGGTGTGGTAGCACATGCCTGTAATCCCTGCTACTCTGGAGGCTGAAGCAGGAGAATCACTTGAACCTGGGAGGCGGAGTTGCAGTGAGCCAAGATTGGGCCACTGCATTCCAGCCTGTGTGACAGAGTGAGACTCTATCTCAAAAAAAAAAAAAAAAAAAAAAGGTCTTATCAGTTAAATGTTCATAGCCCTTTTGAGGAAAATGAATACAATACTTTCCCTCACAGAATACTTCTTCAGTCAGCAATTAAACAAATGTTTAACAAATGTTTAATGTGTTCCTACTATGTAGCAGGGCTTGTATTAAAAACTAACATTCTAATGGTGGAAAAAACAGGCCCCATCTTAAAAGATCTCCTAGGCTAGTTGGGAGATGGACAGGGAGAGGGGACATTGCAGTATAGGGCGGTAAGTGCTGCAGTCAGGTCAAACACAGGGTCTTGGAGGTCTCCCTAGGGTGGACAGAGAAGCTCCCTGAGAACCAACAGCTGAGCAAGAGGTCTTAAGGCTAAAGTGAAGAAGGTGATGGACAACTGGCGAGAAGCTCCCTGAAGGCAGAGGGAACAGTGTTTACAAAAGCCTTGAGTGGCAGCTGGTCAGTGGGGTTGTA